TTTTTTACTTTTTTGATGTGTATTTTTTTCTTATTAAAATATTTGGTCTGAAAATTTAAGATTTTACCGAACTCATGTCATTAAAAAAATCGCTCCTTCAGTTGAAAATATAGAAAAACCGTAATGTTCATAAAGTTTTTGTGTTACACGTTGACGATATATTGGAGGATTACTACTTCTCTGATTGCGGTGGAGAGGCTTARGATTTATTACAATGAGGACAAATATCGCCACAAACAAACAAAAATAAGCACAAAAACAAGATATTTTCATATTTTCGGTTGGTTCCCAAGRAAATAAAAAGTAATAACATTTTATAGAGTTGATATCAATTCTCAACTTAGTTTAAAATCAAAAATCACTTTTGGAGAAAATGATTTAGTACTTGTTTTAATTAACTAAAAGTTGGAAAATAGATGCCAAAAATACATTTTCAAACATTCTGCATTTATAAATTAAATACATTTTCTAGTTTAATTAATAAATGCGACTCGAGTTTTAACAACTCTTATTTAGAGATAAATTTGTACAGTTGAACTGATTCTAGTTTCATTTTTAAATGTAGTAAAACATTACAACTTTATTGCAATATTTTAAATTTGTGCTATCTAAAAGTGTTACCACATTAAAAACTTATTTTTTATTTTTTTTTATTTAGAAAAAAATATTTATGAAACTCGTTGGAACGAGTCTAATAAAAAGAAGTTTTTTCCACCTTAATTTCAGTAAGGAAAGTGGCCAATTACCTTCCTGGAAGGTAAAAATTATACCTTCCCCGTAGGAACGAAAAAACATGCTGCTAGATTTAATGGCAAAACTGGAAAATCAAGAAAAACTCTTATTTTTCAAGTTTTTGTGCTCGTAGAAAAAAATTATGTTTGTTACACTGGAGGAAAGTGTTTTTTTCCTGGGTGGGTTCCTCCACTTGCGAGGAGAAAAAATACACTTTCCTCCCTTGTAACACAAACAACTATGTACTTTTTCCCACTTTAATACAGACAGATCATTTTTTTACTTTTTTGATGTGTATTTTTTTCTTATTAAAATATTTGGTCTGAAAATTTAAGATTTTACCGAATTCATATCATTTAAAAAATCGCTCCTTCAGTTGAAAATATAGAAAAACCGTAATGTCCATAAAGTTTTTGTTTTACACGTTGACGATATATTGGAGGATTACTACTTCTCTGATTGCGGTGGAGAGGCTTACGATTTATTACAATGAGGACAAATATCGCCACAAACAAACAAAAATAAGCACAAAAACAAGATATTCTCATTTTTTCGGTTAGTTCCTAAGCAAATAAAAAGTAATAACATTTTATAGAGAGTTGATATCAATTCTCAACTTAGTTTAAAATCAAAAATCACTTTTGGAGAAAATGATTTAGTACTTGTTTTACTCGTAGTTAACTAAAAGTTGGAAAATAGATGCCAAAAATACATTTTCAAACATTCTGCATTTATAAATTAAATACTTTTGTAGTTTAATTAATAAATACGACCCGAGTTTTAACAACTCTTAATTTAGAGATAAATTTGTACTGTTGAACTGATTCTAGTTTCATTTTTAAATGTAGTAAAACATTATTGCGATATTTTAAATTTGTACTATCTAAAAGTGTTTAGCACATTAAAAACTTGCTTAAGGTGTTTTCATTTATTTAGGAAACTCGTAGAAACGAGTCTAACAAAAAGTAGTTTTTTCCACCTTAATTTCAGAAAAGAAAGTGGCTCTCCGGACGGTAAAAATTATACTTTCCCCATAGGAACAAAAAAACATGCTTCTAAATTTAATGGCGAAACTGGAAAATCAAGAAAAACTCTTATTTTTCAAGTTTTTGTGCTCGTAGAAAAAAATATATGTGTATTACACTGGAGGAAAGTGTTTTTTTCCCTAGGTGGGTTCCTCCACTTGCGAGGAAAAAAATTCACTTTCTTCCCTTGTAATACAAATAACAATGTACTTTTTCCCACTTTAATACAGACAGATAATTTTTTTACTTTTTTGATGTGTATTTTTTTTCTTATTAAAATATTTGGTCTGAAAATTTAAGATTTTACCGAACTCATGTCATTTAAAAAATCGCTCCTTCAGTTGAAAATATAGAAAAACCGTAATGTTCATTCCAGCACTAAAGTTTTTGTTTTACACATGTTGTATGATGGTTATTCTCCTTATCAACTCTGAGAATAAACTCCATGTAAATAATTATTTGTGCTACTTTTTGGTACATTTTAAAATAAAACATTGAATTACTCAATTCTAATAATAAAAAAAATTGAGTAAAGTAAAAAAAAAATACTTGAAAAAGACGAGACGCAGACGACGTTTCAGACCTAACCTTGCACTTTTATAGTAATTTGTTCTGTCTCGAAATTTTATATAATTTTTGTTTATTTTGTAAGATATTAAGAGAGGCTTGTTTAAAAAACACCTGTACATAAAATACACTTATCTCGACATTTTGTCAATTTTGACAAATTTCTTTATAACAATTATTGAATTTAGGAAAACTTATAATCGAATATTAGTGCTGGAAAAATTTTTTAAACACAACAAAAGTTTTATAGTTTTAAAAATTTACGAGACTACGACTTCGATTTTTCAAACATCAAAATGATGTTGAGTTGCAAATTTATTTTAGAGTACAAAACTCCAAAACTAATATTAAGATTAGAAATCATAACAAATAAAAAATCAGATGTGAACATCACACGACTTTCCTTATCCTACTTATTTGGAAAACATCCTTACGGCAAAAATTAAGTGTAGAAAATCCGAGTAGCAAATAGATCAATTTTAGTTCGGTACCCATTATTATTTTTATTCTATTACATTTTACTTTTTAATAAAGTGTATTTCATAATTCTAAATAATTTGTATCCCCATGAATTTATTGTATCTTCAACCGTATAATTTTGCGGCCGCTTTACGGCCGATTTTTAGTCTTCGGCCGATTTTTACCAATTGTTTCGTGCTACGTCCCCTTCCTACAAGTAACTTACCAAATCTCAAGTTTCTAGCTCTTATCGTTATCGAGATATGCTGTTTACAGACACTTTGATTATTTAAACTACATTATATGATTTTAAAGTATGTGCAAATATTTTAACAGGTCATAATAATGCTCAAAATAACTAAACTTGCTTTAGCCGAATGTTTATAATTTCTGAGATATAGAGGATGCAACCTCCACTTTAGCGTCGAATAAATTGTCAAAACAAATGCAATATAAACAAAGTTTGAACGATCTTTTGAATACTTTGTCCCAAAATTTATATTGTTGGTAGTCGGTAACATTTTCAACAAAAATAGATACAAATTTATTACTCTTTTATGATTATTTTAATGTGACACACTTTTTTCAGTGTCTGTTTTTTGCTAATTTTAACTCGTTTTTTAAACAAAGTAATAGATTTTAAATAACTAACCTCAGAGAAAATATTTGTTTCCTGAGCACCAAATTTAAATTTATTCGACTAACAAAACCCTCAACATAGTTATATCTCAAAAACTATAAACATTCGGATAAGGCAAGCTGAATTCTTTTGACATTTTTTGAGCTCTACTCAAGTTAAATACTGTTGACATACTTTAAATCACCCTGTATATTTTTTGTTATTTAAAAAAAAATCTAAAAGAAACGTAAAATGCTGGGTGTAAACCGAAAAAATCAGACCAAAAAACAATTACAATTGTTTTTTTACAATCCCTTCATTTCCTTTTCGTATCCCAGCCACGTTCCCAAGTCCCTTTTCAAACAGATTCGTTCGTTTTATTTAATTTTCAAACAATGTACTACACGCACATTCGTGGGATGTCCAATCTCGAGTTTTCGATGGTAATAGAGTGTGACGAGCATCGTGTTAAATTTACTCGACCGTAGTCACCTGAGAAAAGGCCTTTTGAGTACGGAAAATTGGAAAGGTTAAAGGGATAGCTTTGTTTAATTAAACAAAAAAGTGGAGTGGCGAATTAATTTCAAGCAGGTTTTCTCGGAAATAATTAAACGAAAAAATAATTAATTATTATTTGAAGAGAATAAAAGTTTTTTAACGAGTTTTACTGTTCTAGGGGAAAACTTGGTGAATTTGTACTTACGGAGATTCCTAAGAATTGAGTTGAGTTGATGGCTGAATAAATGTCGTCAGCAATTTCCTTATTGTTGTAATTAAATTCCTTCAAGCTTTTGCCATATTTGTGCAGACGATCCATGGTTTTATTAAACGCTAAAAGAAAAAAAAACAAAAATAACAAAAACCTAAGTAAAATAAATTGGACTGAATTAACGAAATAAATGTCTCGTCTTTGAGTAATGATCGTTGAAAGAGCACAATACCTAATGCGACCGACCAGACAGCGTCGTAGGCCAAAGGAGCTTCCTGATATCCTTCAGGATAGCGTTGGTTATCGATCTTGTATCCTTCTTTCCGCAAAACTTGATTCAGTCGCAACCGGAAGTCCTCCGAGGTCATCCCCGAGATGGTCCTTTCGTTGAGATTCTGATTCCACATAAGCGCTTCCGTGGTGAGATGACCCTCTGCTGCTTCTCTCATCTGCTCCAAACTACATTCGATGTTCTCTTCTTCAAGATTCACCTCGAACCAATTATCCTCGTACCAACCTGAAACGCAAAAAAATATATTGGGGACGCTTATTTATCAACGTCGGTAACGAAGATAATCAAAATCGAGGGCGGTTATCGACGAATCTTGCATTATTCAGCCGGAAGTCGTGCTAGGAAAAATGGAAACGTGGGAGAAATGTCGACGAAAAGCGGCGGCGAGCTGGCGAATTAGGATGGTTTTTTTTATACAAATAGAGAGTGATTCGAAAAAACAACCTCAAGTAACGTTAGACAATTCAATATAAATTTTGATTAAACATCTCTATGTTGTTTAATTTTTTAAAATAGGGTGAACTAAAATAATTCATATTTGTATAAACATCTTGGATAAACATTAATGTTATTAGCCCCAATCAGACAATACAAAAAACAAATGTAAAAAAACTAAAAACGGTGGTTAAAAAAATCAGAACAAGATATATCTACTAAAAAACTTATATTTTTTTTATAGCTATACCTATACAAATTGTTTCAAGACTAAAATAAAAATAATATTAGCAACACTAATAACGACTATAAAAGAAAAAAGGACAAACGATATAAGAAAAATGATAATCAGAATGTAAAAGAACAAGGAAATGATTAAGAAGATAATYCAGACAGTAACAAAAAAGTAAACAAAGCCATAAGAAAGACAATAATAAAAATAAAGGTAAAGAAAATGAAGAAAACGACCATGACAGTAACAAGAAAATAAAAAAAAACAGTAAATAAAATAAGGAGAAGAAAAATAGCATAGAAGAAAAAGCATAGATAGATGAAAAAATTTAAATCTAAACTAACAAAATAAAAGTTATTTATTATACAAGACGATAAAATTGAATTTTATCTTTAAGAGCAATTTAGCGTCGAGGCGTCAGCCGAGCCAAACATCTCTATGTTGCATTTTGACCTT